TTATAACTTTATAGATATTGAGGCTTCTAGTAAGTTCAGTTACAACTTGTAATTCATAGGACATTGTTTTTTGTCAGGTTACTCTTACTGGTTTCCCTTACAGTATTTTAAAAAGGAGATTCCTGTTTTCTTTTAAACTTTCTTTTGTTGTTGTTGTTGCTTGGTTAGAAGATGCTCTGTTCCATCCTCCAACTGGGACAGTATTTCACTGATCTTTGAAGACCAGGGAACAGTTACATAAAAAAATCTGCCTTTGCCTATACATGCTTATATATCTTGATTTTTGTTATTTTAAAATGTATTTTGAAAATAGTTGTTTATGGCTCTGGTGAATCTGAAGGGTTTGTTTTCTTCAAGAACATGCATGACAGAATAGAGACCTCTTTGTCCCTCTCTGAATCATATAATAAATACTGGCAAATTGACCAAATATGTCTTTCATCTGATATCATTCTCAATGGCGTTTATAAAATTACTGTGTCTGGCTGGCTGGGAGACATGCTGGTGATGTATTCTCTGCAAAAAAAATATTTTTAATAATGCAATTGATTATTAATTACAAATATATGTAATAAATACATTATAATAATTTGTAATAGATTCTAAATTAATATAATTAATAATTAATTAATGAAAACCCAATCAGTCAAGTTTGGGGCTCCATTTTAAGTGAGTGGGTTAAATTATTACAGTCACTATTATTACAGTCACTACAGTCACTACAAACCCAGTAAATGCATAGCTTCTGTAGGTTTAGCAGTGTGTTGCATGTACACCAGAGGAATCCCTTGCAGGTCACTCCTTAGAGCCGTAGTGCTCTGCTGGGATCGTTTAGGTTGGAAGGGACCTTCAGACTTCATCTGGTCCAACCTCATGTTCAGAAAAGCAGTTGAAAGATCAAAATTGTTGGGGGCTTTATCCAGTCGTATCTTGTAAACTTGCAAGGATAGAAGCCACACAACCTTTCTGTGACACTAGCTAGACTGACTGTTCTTGTGGTGAAAGATACTGACTTATACAAAGCTGAAATCTTATACCTGGATATAATATTCCATCTGTGGTCTAACAAGTGTTGACTAGAGGTGGAACAGTAATTTCCTTGATCTATTGGCTATACTGCTGTGAATACTGCTCAGGGGACAATAGTTCCTGGGGCATATTGCTGACTCACTTTCAGTTTGCTGTTTTACCAGGCTCCTCTTTTTAACAGAGCTGCTTGCCAGCTTGTACTACTGCAAGTCCTTTCCATGTGGAGAACTTTGCACTTATCCTTGCTGGAGTTCCTAGGGTTTCTGTAGGCTGTTAACTCTATCCTGTCTTAAGTGCCTCTGTCTGATGGTCCTGTCCTCAAACTTATTATTTGGTCCCACTAATTTGGTGTCAGCTGCAGCAATGCAGTCCACTGAATCCTTTAGTTCATTGATAAAGGTGTTGAATGGGGCAGTTCCCAGAAGATACCACTACAACACTCCTTTTGTTATTGCCATCCAGGTAGAAAATAACCCAGTCATGCACACCTTTGAAGCCTTACTGTATAATCTTCTGGCTTTTCATGTACCCAGACCATAACACCCTAACTTGAAATGCAAGGATACTGTAGGAAACAGTTGAAAGCCTCCAAAAGCTGTGGTGAATGATGTTTTCTGCTTTCTAATTACCTATGGATCCAGACACTGTTTTTAATAGAGAGCAAGCAGGTTGGTCTGACATGATTTATCATTGTTAAATCCATTCTAATGATCCCAGTCATCTTTTTCTCTAAAGCAAGACAAAAAATATGTTCCAGGAGAATTTTTCAGTGATTTTCCTCACTGGTTGAGGTTGACTATCCCTGCTGAAGGACCCTTTTTTTGGCCTTTTTAGAAGATGGTTGGGATGTTTGCTCACCTTCATTCATCAGGGGTCTCCCCTGTTTTCCATCACCTTTCAAAGATGGTAGAAGGTGGCCTTGAAAGGACATCAGCCCCTTTCTTTTCATGTGCTCTTGAATTTTTTCTGTCTAGACCTGTGAATTTCTAGGGATGAAGTCTTAGCCTGACTCCTTGAACCCTGCCTCTAATCATGGAAGCCTGGGAGAACTTAATGGTGATAACTGTAGCAAAGAAGGCATGGAGTAACTCAACCTTACCTGTGTCTGCTCTTGTAAATCACCCACCCTCTTCAGCAATGTCTCCACTTTGTCATTGTTCAGGTTTTTATGGTTGACGTAAAGGAGATACTCTTCATTGTGCTTTTGAAATTCCTTGTAGGTGTTCGGTTAAGATGGGCTTTTCCCAACAGCATCCTAATGCGGTGCCCAGACAATGCCTCCAAATTCTGTTTTAGCCAGTCCCTGCTTGATCCTCCCATATGCTGCACATTTGCTCTGGAGCTCTGTCATGAGTTACCTGCCAAGGCAGGCTAGTCTCCTTATTTTTCTACTCTCTTTTTTTTTTTTTTTGAGCATTAGGTTAGACTGTTCTTGCATTTGAAAGTTGCTCTCCTTAAAGACCTAGTTTCCCTGAGCTCTTCTTTCATGTTCCCAGGGCCAACACAGCCAATAATAGTGCTGACATTTCTTGTCACAGGCAAGGCAAGGATTTGTGGTATAACTTATTGAGCAACTGGTTTTGTCCTTCTTTACAACTGCTTTCTTGTATTACTTGTTACGTGCATTTCAGGTTTTAAAATGTAATAATCACTCAACATCATTTTAACCTGAATATTCCCTGGCTGAGAAGGCACTGAAGCTACGAGCAAATAAAACCTGTTTGTGCTGCCTAATTCCAATCAGAATCGGGGCACTGTTCCATGGTATCTCTGCTGGATGAACCAGAACTGGCACATACATTGATTTCTACCAGCTGTTTTCTGCCAATTCCAGTTCCTGACAGGTAGCAAGCTGTGTAGCTGGCAGCAAAGAATCTCAAACAGTTCAAATATGCCCCAGGGAGGGCAATTGCTTACCCAAAGCCCATCAAGGAATTGCTATTATGCTTCACAACATACATATACATTCACCACATCTGTCTCCTGTTATTTATACTCAGAACTGACAAAAGACTGAGATAAACATGTGCCTATTTAATACTATGCAAGAACAAGGTGCTTGCAAGAGACAAACGTTGCATAAATCTTGGTGAATAACTTCCTAGTGAAACTTCTCTTGTATATTCTTTGAAATGTTTCCATGGCTGATCTATACTTCAGGAGGCCAAATCATCCATTTAAATACCAAGACAACCTATTAAAGTACTTTAAATCTAAATTTGCTCATTTTCATCTGGTGCTTTTACAGTCTCACAACGCAGTACAAGCAGCCTTTATCTGCGGACCTGCTGCCTTCTTCACTTCCTTTTTGAGTTCTCTAAAAGCTGTCTTCACAATAAGCCTCTCCTCACATGAACCATTCAACTGACCATGTGCAGGCTCCTAGCTCCTTTCAGATAGAAAGAGATTTGCCTTTGCTTTTGTTTTTGTAATGAGGCAAAAGCATTCCTCTTATTAGAGGAATGAAGCTTGGATGATAAATGCTAAATTTTTAAGTCATGGCAGCAGTTTGTGATTCCCTGTTCTTCCCCAGGCTGCTTTAGGTAAAAGTGAGATGATAAACTTGGAAGATGTCTTGTACTCATTGATTCTTTGGAAGAGAGCAGGAGATGAAGGATGAAGTACTTTACAAAGTGAACTTTATTAGGTAAAGCAGAGACATGTTCTTCTGGAAATATTAATATGTCTCAGTGAGAGAGCTTAATTTGGCAATAGTCTTACGGGTCTCAAAACCTGTCCAATGAGTGCCCTCTTAATATCTTGAATGGTTAACAGCCATTGATATAAATTCCTATATCACTTCCAACCAAAAATTACAGTATGAGATCAGGCATTTGAAGTAGAAATATTCAGATGCATTCTAAGAGTTGGAACTGGATGTAGCAGGTTTTATGATATTATGCAGAAGACAGACATTTGTGAAACTGCTTGTTGATTTCATTCAGAGTTGTTAATGTTCAGAGGCCCAACATTTGTATGTAACGTGCATTCCCCTTCCCTTCCCTTCCCTTCCCTTCCCTTCCCTTCCCTTCCCTTCCCTTCCTCTTCCCTTCCCTTCCCTTCCCTCCCTTCCCTTCCCTTCCCTTCCCTTCCTTCCCTTCCCTTCCCTTCCCTTCCCCTTCCCCTTCCCTTCCCTTCCTTCCCTTCCCTTCCCTTCCCTTCCCTTCCCTTCCCCCTTCCCTTCCCTTCCCTTCCTTCCCTTCCTTCCTTCCTTCCTTCCCTTCCCTTCCCCTCCCTCCCTCCCCCCTCCCCTCCCTCCCCCCTCCCCCTCCCCCCTTCCCCCCTCCCCTCCCCCTTCCCCTTCCCCTTCCCCTTCCCTTTCCCTTTCCTCTTCCCCTCCTTCTTTTTTTAATTTTTTTTTCTTTTTTATTTTTTCTTTTTATTTTTTTTACTTGAGGGCTAAGTAGAGAGTATAGATGCTCACTTTGTACTTGATTTGGAGTGACAGGGGTTTAGTGTAGCCCTGCAGTTACTGACCTGAAGCATTCATGATTCTGTGCCTTAAGCAAGAAGGAATAAATTATTCTACTACCTTTCACTGTCATTTTAAATCTGTAAGGGAACTGTGCAGTATAAAAACTTTAAGACTGTGATTCTATTGTTAACATATGATTTCTTTAAGTGAGCTGTCAAAGGTTGAAACACTTGCCCAGTGCAAGTGTTTTTATTATTTTTTCAATTAGAAACCAATAAAATATTTTATAAAGGAATTCTAAAGTGTGTTTGTTAATTACAATCATCATATAATCTTTCAAATGCTAATGGTCTGACTCAAATTTCACTTTGTTTAGTTGTGTTAGAAGTTATGATTAAAGAATGGTATAGCTTTATAGTTGTTTTACTGCCATCTGTGTGCACCAGGCAATAACTATGTACAGATGGTTGTGATTCAGAGACAGGTTGCCACATGCAAAAAAAGTATGTTTCAGTTATTTTAATAAGATTTATTGCAGCAGTCACAGTTAAATGCTTGAGCCTTAATGATAATTGCTACTAATCTTTCAAGAAAAATGATCAGAGTTCAGTAAACCACAAGGAGCAGATTTTGCTGTAAACTTCAGAAACATCTCACCACTAAGGTATGCTTCCTGTTTTCATTCTGTGTTTGTTCCCCCTCCCTTTTCTTTCTTGAACATTTTTTCCTGTATTTTTGCTCTTGCATAATTTTGTATGAAAAGGTAAGAGTGTGTTCTCTCATTCTCTATTTTTCTTCCCAGGTATTGATGCTTATTTATGTTGAAACACCTGGAGATTCCCAAATCTATGTAAATAAAAGGTAATAACTTTAACAGTAAACCCAAATCTCTCACAAAACTCTCAGTTCCTTTGCATCAGAGACTGGGCCACGTTCTAACCCCAAACATGACTGTTTGTTTCTGTTTGTGTGTCTGTGATGGAAGTGGTGATTTAGATTTTGTATTTGGGCTGGCATCTTACATCTGTGTTTGGCTTGTATACTTAGTAGTCACTTCCAAAATATGATAGTCCAGGCCAAGAATTAAAAGCCTTTGTAGTACTTTAAGGATTTTCATAGGTTTATACCCTTTATTAACTGCAAGGAAAAAGGTCCTGTGTATGACCTCATAGAGATACAGCTGGAATATTAGTTTGTGCCTAAGAATTTGTACCTTAACAGTTCAATGCCTCAAGAGGTCCAGTTCTTCCCCTTGATTTTTAGCTTGGATTGTTCTTTACTTTCTATTGGACAGTAAGAGTTTCAGCTAAATGCATGTAGGTGTGAATATAGATAAAGTGTGTATGTCCATGCATGCAGGGGGATGTGTGCGTATATGTCGGTACATGTAGATATATACAAAATGTATATTTATATCATCTTAATGACAGATGGACTGAAATAACCATTTGCTTTAGAAACTATTCTTGAGGGGTTTTTAAAGTATTCTTTAGCTTTAATTTTTGTGTCCCTGTCATAATTCAGCTTTCACTTGTGATACTACAGGAATTTGGAATTATAGTGCTTACATGTATGACAAAAACAGTGCCAGGTATACTAGACATCCATTTCGAGGGTTTCAGGAAGAAACATGACCATTGTGATACAGTTTTTCTGCTTGCTGCTAGTGTTGAGTTTGTTCTGTAAACTCTTATCACCAGCTATATCTTGAATTGCCATAAGCAGTCATGGAGAAATCACAGCTACTATGGCTCTACTGTTTACTGGGGGCTGCTACACCATTAGTATCAAGTGGTTCAGGGTGCAAAGTAGTGGTTTTGTTAGTGTCTAAACTCTAATATAATGAAAATTGTTGGAGTAGCATGTAACAGAAGAATGTTTTCCTTTTCTTTCTTCTTCTGTTTGACCTCTTTCTTTTGTAAGATTCTCTTTGCAGATGAATTTCAAGACTAGAAATATATATATATATAAAAAAAAAGGGGCAGCAAAAAATGACCTTTTCTCTCATCTTTTTGTATCTTGTGAAATACAGTCTTGCAGTGCCCCAAGGTGAGGAAGGTTGTCACTTTTTGTCTGTCTGCATTATTGTTCTCTGCCACCATTTGGTTGTATTTAAGGAGAAGGGTGCTAAATCCTATTTTCACTCAAGGCTGTGATGAAATGGTCTGAGAAGCCACCTTAGTTCCTGGATTGTTGACTCTTTGTTGTTGGTTAAAAAAACCCCAGTTTCTAAAGAGGAAATTTGTAGCACCACTGTTCTGGCAATATGCAAAATTAAAAATTTACAGGTATTTTTGTCTTGAAAATAATTCTCCTGAAGTCCTCAGTTGTGTTATGAGTAGTAAATGTTTTATGCTTATCTTTCAGACTGAGAATATTTAAAAACAAATATCTTGATGAGGGTTATTGAAACCATTTAGACAATAGTTTCCTAGGCTTTTTAATACCTTATAACATTTTTTATTAAAAATTTTCCCATGGAAAAAAACTTAATTCATCTTCTTGCCAAGACCTGTGACTATTTAAATTAAAAAGCTGTATTAGAAAAGTGTTTAAACACTCTCTGAATACTCTAGAAGTGTAGCTGAAGAAGCTGGTGACTGAAACAGCTTCAGGTAAATGATGTCAGACTGCAAATCAGTCTTGGCCAGCTGCCAGCAACTTCCAAAGGCTATCCTGCAGTTATTCAGAAGTTTGGCGTTTCAGTCTGGAGAAGGGAGGAGGAGCATTGAGTGGAGGAAGGGAAGAATACTGACTCTACCAGAATTGCCAAGTGCACAAGTATTAAATCATTTTTATGGCTGTTTTGGACCACTGAGCTATGTAGAGAAGCCAAAGAAATGGGCTTGAACTCCATTAGGAGTAAATGGCAACATTGTGCTGCATTTCCTTGGCCTCCTCTGCTTGACTTGCTGCATATCAGCAAATCTGATGTTAACACAAAGTGTGGTAGACTATGCTTTGCAGTAGGGTTAGCTATGTCATTAAGAGACAGTAGACCTGCTATTAGAAAATTGTGGAAACATGGCTATCTGACAGGAAATGGAAATTTTCAGTCATACCGGTAACTAATCTTAAAGTCATATTCTAACCAGAGATAAACAGTTCTAAATGATCACACAGAGGCTCCAGAGAAGAACTGCATGCCTTTCTGTCCTAGCCTTACCTGCTGTGTGTCTGTCTCTATGTACAATAGTCTATAAATATGTGTGAGCATCTGTTACTATATTCCTTCTCATCTTTATTCCACAAGCCAAGATTTCCATAGTCTGCTGCCACGGCACTTGTATATGACATTTTGAATGTATGAAGTGCAAAAGCATGACATTTTGAATTAGAAATTAATTTAACAAACGTGTCTGTTGGAAAAACGTCTAGATCCTCAAAATTTGTCAAATGATATTTTAAAAAGTTAAAAAGATATTTCACAAAATGAACTGAGGAAAGTTTAATGTGAAAATTAAGGGGAAGAAAATGTTCACCACTTGAGAGGCTTCATGACCCTAACAGAGAGGACATGAATCCGATGAATGACATGAGGCAAATCACTGCCTGGTGCTGCTGTTTCATTTCTGTTCATCCTTTCCTGTTTAAACTCTTTTGGAGCAAGGATGCTCACAGTATGGAGTCTCCAATGGTGGCCTAGTCTAAGTAGCAAAGTTGACTGCAATAATCCCTGCGCACTACTTACAAATGGAGCCCCTGGTGGTCTAGTGGTAAGGGTGCGGCGCTGTCACCACCGAGACCCGGGTTCGATTCCCGGTCAGGGCCACTCCCGGGCAGGTGGAGCTCGTTAGCCCTTAAAGGCAACCCACCTACGTCCTAAGGACCTCACTGCCACCATCCAAGCTCGCTTGGCCCCGGCAGATGAACCTTAGGATTAAAGGGTGGGCTCAGTTCCGCGCACACTGTGTCTCACCTAAAAAATCCAATGCGCAGGCTGGAAGGTGTAAAGACCTTCCCTGGATCTTCGCTCGCGAAGACTGGCCATTATATACTTACAAGTAATAATTCTTTACCATTTCTGAGTCGCTGTAGCAAGTTAAAAACAAATTAGTTGAGAATGGGCAAATTTGAAAAATTATGTACGCAGATGTAAATGATTTGCAAATTCATTTGTCCCGCAACACAAATCCATGCAAATTAGTACGTATGTTTAGTTATAGCACGTCACATACAAGCTTCAGACTGGTGACCTTGGATATTAGAGGACTGCTCTAGACTGAATAAAAACTGAAGCATCCCTGTGTACTATTTTAAGTGTTAATTTTTCTGCACTTCTTGAAAACAAAATATCAGAAGGGACTAAATTACATGAACAAGTTCAAACCTCAAAAGTCATTACCTGTCCTGTTTTTAGATTCACAAAACTGAGATTAATTTTGTACTAAGATCTAATTACCACAACCAAGCTTCCTCCTGCTTACAGGATTGGGACTAAGTGGTGGTAGCAGATTATGAAAATAGCTAAAGAGTTTACAAGTTAGGTGGAGGTTTCTCTTTGCATGTTGAAAGTAGACAGTATTTCTTCCTCTTCCTGGGAGTGTGGATGTGCCCCACTCTAAAAGCTCTGTTCCCACACTGGAATGATAATGAATGGACAGGATTTGGCCTCTTCAGTATTGAAAATACAGGGAAGCAGTTCTCTGAGAGTCAGAAAGCATCACTTCCTCTCTTACTCTAAGAGGAAGAGATGAGGAGGAATAAGTTCTCTTGTGTACCTACTCTTTTGATCCTTTTTTTCTTTCTACAAGTTTGGATTTCCCAATATGCTTTAGAAAAGAGTTTGGATGAGATCATTTGGGTGATTTCACATTGGGCTACTTCTTCCATTGAGGTCTTCTCCCAGGCTTCTGCACATTACTTTGCCTTGCTAGGAATTGTTCTGTTACTCCATGATCTGACATCTGAGCATGCGTAACATCAGCATTCCTCATTATTGCAAAATGCTCAGTGGAGTAATATATTGATGTTTATTAATTTAAAATTCTGTTTGCTATGAGCAGTGATAACGCTTAGCTGCTGTCATTTTCTCCACTTCATTTGGTACCCTGGTGGTCTAGTGGTTAAGGGCGCGGCGCTGTCACCGCCGAGACCCGGGTTCGATTCCCGGTCAGGGACACTCCCAGGCAGATGGAGCTCGTTAGCCCTTAAAAAGGCAACCCATCTACGTCCTGAGGACCTCGCTGCCACCGTCCAAGCTCTCTTGGCCCCGGCAGATGAACCTTAGGATTAAAGGGTGGGCTCAGTTCCGCGCACACTGTGTCTCACCAAAAAAATCCAATGCGCAGGCTGGAAGGTGTAAAGACCTTCCCCGGATCTTCACTCGCAAAGACTGGCCATTATTATTATTAATTTTAATTACAAAAGACTCTTTGCTAGTCTGTCAGTTACACCTTATATCTTCTTTTTGTTTCTAGTAATTAAACTCATTTTTGTTGAAAGCATTGATGTAAGCATGTAAGATTTTAGTATCTGACCCTTTCAAAGTCTCCTAATCTTAGTCCAAACCTTTGCTTTGTCTCTGTAAAAAACTGTGGACTTCATAAACTGTACATCTCTGCAGGAGCTCTGCCGGTGTTTTTAGTTTCATACGACATCCAAGTTTCCTTTTTATTGTCTTACTGCCAGCCTCAGTCACAGAATCACAGAATGGCTGAGTTTTGAACGGACCACTGAAGATCATTTGATCAAACTCCCCTGCTCAAGCAAGCTCTCTAGAAATTAGTGCCCAGGACCATGTGTAGGTGACTTTTGAATATATCCAAGGCTAGAGGCTTCACAACCTCTCTGAGCAACTTGTGCCAGTGTTTGGTCACCCTCAAAGTGAAAAAGTGCATTCTGATGACCAGTTGGAGCCTCCTGTGTTTCAACATGTGCCCATGGCCTCTGGCCCTGTCATTTTCCACTGTTGAACAGAGCCTGGCTGTGCCTGCTTTGCACCATCCCTTCAGGTATTTCTACACATGCGTAAAATTTCCCTGAACCTTATAAACAGTCCCTATTTTCTTAACCTTTTCTTGCAGAAGAAATGCTTCATTTCCTTTCTCATCTTAGTGGCCATTTGTTAGACTCTGTTCAGAATGCCTCTGTCTCTCCTGTATTGGGAACTCTGGAACTGGACCCAGCACTCCTGTCCAAGCACCAGTGTACCCCTGCTTCCTCTGTGTGCCGACTTTCACTACCCTTTATTTGTAGTTTATACTGTTTCTGCTGTTTTTAAACTATTTTCTGTTACTTTTCAGCAAACCATACTGTGTGATGGGAAAAAAGTCTAGAAGTCTTCTAGACTCTCTGATCTGGTTGCTAGCAGTTGACATACACATGGGAAATAGAAGAAAGGATGGAGAAATTCTTTGGTTATAGGACAAGCAAGAGATTTCAGTACATGAGATGTTGAGAAAATACATATGTCAATGCAAATTACAAAATGTATACATGAATTGGCAAATTTTTCCAGTTTGTCTTTAGTTGACCTCATTCTTTTAATCTCTATTCCCCTACCCTCCATGCTCTCTTCCCTTTGCTGTCAAGCAAAATTTATATTTGTACCACAATAAAGCACTCTTGAAACATTTCAAATGCTAGTATTTCAAGGTGTTGAGTGTTTTTAATTTCACCAACAATTTTACTAGAGGAAGAACTGCTCATTTTTAAAAACAGGATATCAGAGGTAAAGGGGAACTGTATGTTGCCAAAAGGTAGAACAGTAAGCCTATGACAAAGACTTGCAAATAACCTATAGCTCTGAATTCATATCAGGAAAGAAATTATATGATTCTTTTCTGCTAAACTTACTAGAACTAAGCATTCAGACTTCTGTTTTAAGAAAAAAATACTTAAATAAAGTCATACAGAGATCGAAAAGCAAGCTCATTAAGTGTGGAAACTGAAGCACTCTGCTCTGCATGTTCAAGATATATAAGCATTCCAGAAAGGTACGAATTCATACAACCTTTCTGTGAAACATCAACGTAGAAAGTCTTATTATTTCCTGTTTTCATTCTTCCTCTTTTATTTTTTTTTTTTAATATTTGCAAACAAGCTCAAGATCAAATGTAGTGTGTTAAAAATTAATAACTATACAGATAAAATTACCAAGGCCTTTTCCTAAACATTTAATCAATGCCAATTTGCTCTTGTTGTTTTTGCAGTCTTGAAGGAGTTGAGGTGTTTCTGATTTTTCCTTGGTGAGTCTATTTGTATATTGTGGTAGATCATTGTGACATTGTGGTAGATCAAAACATATATCTGTTTACAGTCATTTTCTCCACAGGATACTCACCGCCTTCATATTTGTTGTCAATTCTTTCTTCCACTTCATCAAAAGTCTATTCTTCTACTGACCTTTCTATATCATGACATCTTCCAGTTATGCACAGTTTTGTTTCGACCTACCTTTCAGATCTCCTTGCTTAGCTTTTATTTCTAGGTTCCATTAATTTTTCCAGTTATTCCTTGGATCCTTTGAAGTTTCTTTGGGGTGTCCCTACTTCTGTAAGCCAAAACCTCCTTTCTCCTCTTTTCTTCAGAGGACACAAATCCCTTCCAAACCAAGAGCCATCAGTCAAGTTTTCTTTGTCCCACAATAACATTAAGCAAGAAATGAGAAATCAGGCAAGAAAACTAAGTAGCATATAGGTAAGATAACAGGAAACATGAATGGTTCCAATACATTGTGTAAGTTTGCTGTTGTAAGGTCATCTCTCCTTGCCCTGTTCCATCTTGTTGTTTTCATCTGGGTGACATATAGCATTAGATCATATGTTCTTTCTGGCAGGGATGGCATCTTTTATTTATTCTTTAATTCACCTAGCACAGCTTACAAATAACCACATTGTTAAACATGTACAATTTTAATTTTTTTTCTTTTAAATAAACTTCCAGAAGAATGATGAAGAGCATCAAGCTAAATTTCAGCTCCAGATTTTGAACTGGCTGTAAAATCTCATTTATGAAGTCTGCTTTCCTTACTTTTAAGCTTATATACATATATCTTTGTGTTGTAAAAATTGCCATTGGTTTTGACCTTTCAGAATTTTTTTCCTAACAGATAGACCTTAGTAGATTTTTGTCCCAGTACAGAATGCATTTAGCAAATTCCGGTTTTAGAAAAAAGCTACTGAAATTCTATAAAGTGAAAATGACTTTTCTCCAGTTGATTCATGCCCTTTATTCTCAAGAAGACTGTTATGAGCATAGGGACAACAAATTTGAAAGGACTGCCTTCTTATCCTTACATATTTATGCTCATTTTTCTTGTACATTATTTTAGAATTCATTCAGCTATAGTGATGCACAAAGTATAACAAAGAATATAGGTCTAATCTTTGAAAGTGTGGACCAATGGTGATAAGAAGCACTTTGTTGACTTGAAAACCTGGAGAAAGCCATTCTGTATTTGCTCTGTTGGGACTCACCATGGTAGAGTGAATTTGTTTATGTTTTGGTTAGATAGTCATCCTTAGTGCTGTTCTCATTACCTAAGAGATAATGTTTTGGTGAGAGATTGTAGTGGGTTTCTGTGGCTGGGTTTTGGGAGTGGGGGAGCAACAGGATTGGCTTCTGTTAGAAGCTTCTAAGAGCTTCTCCCGTCAGGTGGAGCCAATGCCAGCCAGCTCCAGGATGGACTTCCTGCTGCTGGCCAAGGCCAAGCAAATTAGTAGTAATAGTAACACCTCTATGATAACATATTTAAGAACAGAAAATTGTTATGCAGAGGAAATTCCAGCCAGGGAAGAGCAGAGTGAGAACATGGGAACAACAATGCAGACACCAAGGTCAGTGCAGAAGGAGGGGCAGGAGGTGCTCCAGGTGCCGGAGCTGAGGCCCTGCAGCCCCTGGTGCAGCCCATGGTGGGGCAGCTGTGCCCCTGCAGCCCAGGGAGGGACATTGGGGTGCAGAGACCCCCCTGCAGCCCATGGAGGAGCCCATGCTGGAGCAGGTGGATGCATGAAAGAGGCTGTGACCCCGTGGGAGGCCCAAGATGGAGCAGGGTCCTGCTGGAGAATCTGCAGCCTGTGGAGAGGGAACCTCACACTGGAGCAGGTTTTTCCTGGGCAGGACTTGTAGCCCCTGTGGGGGACCCACACTGGTACAGCTCATTTGTGAAGGACTGCACCCCATGGAGGAGTGACCCATAGGACAGCAGTTTGGGAAGAACTGCTGCCCTAGGGATGGACTCACGCCAAAGAGGTTAATCAAGGACTGTCTCCCATGGGAGGAACCCCACGGGAGCAGGGGAAGGACTCCTTTCTCTGGGCAGTGGTAGAATCAAAAACTGACCATAAACCCCATTCCCCATCCCCCTGCAGTGCTGGGGGGGAGGAGGGAGAACATGGAAGGAAAGAGGGGTTGGGGAAGGTGTTTTTAAGATTGCTTTATTTCTCACTCCTTGGCTTTTATCCTGTTAGTAATAAATTTAAGGACCCGGGTTCGATTCCCGGTCAGGGCCACTCCCGGGCAGGTGGGGCTCGTTAGCCCTTAAAGGCAACCCATCTACGTCCTGAGGACCTCGCTGCCACCGTCCAAGCTCGCTTGGCCCCGGCAGATGAACCTTAGGATTAAAGGGTGGGCTCAGTTCCGCGCACACTGTGTCTCACCTAAAAAATCCAATGTGCAGGCTGGAAGGAGTAAAGACCTTCCCCGGATCTTCGCTCGCGAAGACTGGCCATTATTTATTATCCCCACTTTGAGTCTGTTTTGCCTGTGAAAGTAATCAGAAAATGACCTCTCCCAGCTGTTATCTCAACTCACGAATCCTTAGCTGGTTTTTTTTCTGTCCTCTGTCCAGTTGCAGAGGGAGAGTGGGAGAGTGGCTTTAGTGGGTACCTGGCATCTGGCCAGGGTCAACCCACTACTGAGGTGGAAGGCGAATAAAAATAGCATGGACACATAGATAAAGATAGTGCCATGGTTCTGAAGGTGGCTCTGAAGTGCCTGTTGCTTACAGCAATGAAAATAAAACATATCACCATAGAAATCAACATGGAAAGCCAGAAAAGACATTTCAGTACTTTTTCTGGGGCATTGGATTTCAGAAAATACTGCTGACATTCCAGAAAAGAAGGGAGACAAGAAAGCAAGACGGAAATTTGATTCCTGATTTTGGAAGAGTAATTTTTTTAATAGAAAAACATATTACTTTAAATGAATACTTTGTTACATGATTTCTTCATGGAAATACCTGTTTTTCACACACTCTGTATTGCTTGATAAGGTCTCCCTCTTTTAGTTAGATGCATTTATAAATTTTAAGAGGAATAAAGGAATACATTTTCATTGCTCTGAAGAAGTGGTTAAAAAAGACATATTTAGTAAAAATATACTAGAACTACAAGTTGTTGCTTTTTTTCTCCCACAAAACTCAAAAAAAAGTCTCATCTATCAACAGATTGACCATTCAAAATTATATATTTTAAAGCAGACTCTGGTAATTGAAAGGCTTGGGACAACAAAGGAGTGTGAATGGAGTTTCAAAGTAACAAGGAAAATGTATGCAACATCCATGACAGAGTTTCATTTAGTGCTCCGTAAAACTCAGTTTGCTGTTTACCTTAGGTGGCTGTTGGAAAGAGGTCATCACTTTCAAGGAAGGTCATGGCTCAGGTGATGCTTCAGAGAGGATCCTTTCGGTGACCATGATAAACTTTTTAGTTACTGCATTATTATTTTTAAAGATGAGGAGGTAAGATTTAATATCATTGGATTTATAGCTAAATCTTTTAAAGATATACTAGTATCTCCAAATGGAAATATTACCAAAAGTCAGATTTTTGTCTGGTCAACTAATAGGTAAAGATTTGGGCATTTTTTGGGATCTTGATCTTCAAGGCTTTCCACTGTAAATATCTAGGACTGCCATTGAATTTCCAAGGAAAGGAAGTACCATTGTATATCTGTATTTAACTTATACTGCAAAGAGTAAAGCTGATATTTAATATTTGGCATTATACCAGTACATGAGAAAAAAAATAGGGGATGTTACAACCTTAAATTTCAACTTGCAATTTTTTTTTGTTTTTTTGCTGTTTATTGCCTTTTTTTTTCCCTATGTACCTGCATAAACCTTACACTACAGGGTAGGTTTATAAAATAATTCATGCTTATAAAGTAGCCCAAGAGGCTTGAGTACTCTTAATAAGCTTTGTGTATTGGTATGTATTAAATTACACAAAGCACGCAAATTTTTTGGCTCTTACAACTGAAACGTGCATTGAGCTTAGACTATTTTTCTTTAAAAGGTTTATGGGGCTTTCACTTTCTTCCCCTCCTCTTATCCTTTTTCTCATTCATACTGTGTACTTGAGGCTTCTTTAGGCAAGGTAAGAGAATAATCTGCTCATTTCTAATTAATTTCAATGGGAACTACGTGGCTAAACCCCTTAGTTTGAAAATATAAACCACTTTTCCACCTGCAGTTTAAGAGACTTAATTTGTCTTTGCCCTCACCTTACATGCTCTCTGCACTTGTGTAAGTAACTCCATAGAGCAAAGAATGACAAAAAAACAGATCTGAAGGGACCTGAGCAGATTAAGATTTTTATGGTTAGCATAAATGTTTTTTTAGTTTGTGCATCTTATCTGCATGTGATTGCACTGCTTGACTTCTCTCTACAGTGCTTTTTTTCTGGAAGTTACCAGCAGGAAGTAAACACCTTGGAGTTTTCTGACATGCTTTTAATAATGGTAGAAAGGTCAGAGTGGATGGTAATTTATTTAGATATTTTTGAAACAAATAAACACAAGATGAAATATGATCCACTTAAGCTGTAATTCCACCATATTTAGTAATTTTTTTCAATAATATTCATGACCATTGTGCTTTTATTTTATTGTTGCTTTCTCCACCTCTTTTGTTTTTTATTTTAAATCCTAACCTTCATATCTAAAAAGAAAACAGTATAGTTCTGATCACACTCCATCAACATTCAGTGGGAGGGTGAAAGACCGTCACCCACTGAAACAAAAGCCCCCAAACATCTCACAGCCTGGACGAGAGTCTTTGAGTGGCAGAAAAGGGGAAGGTTTTTCCTCAGCTTGGAAGGCTTTTTTGCTATGTCATTCCTGATATAAACCACTGTTACATCTTGAAGCTGTCTCTCAGAGAGGACTGTTTCAGCTTGGAGCTAAGACTGAAATTTTCTCCTCTGATGAATGGATCTATTTTTTTCCTTTTATGGGGAAAAATTTCAAAAGTGTCTGAGCAATGCAGAAGCCTAAATCCCATCGAATGTCACTTGGAATAAAATTATCAAAAGCTCTTTTATTCTTAGAGCTTACACTTGTCAGATGCACAATCTGCCATGGCTGTCACAAATCATCTCTTCTAGATCCATTTTCACTTCTAATTTTCTAATAAAAAAAAAAAGAGTAACTTAAAAGATCAGAGCAGCAGCATATAGACCATTTTATTTAATGCTGGGGTGAGCTGGGTGGGATATAGTGAGTTTTGCTAGATAGACTTCACACAGCCACTCAGGTCTAATATGTTAAAAGATATTCTTTCAGACCACTTGACCTTTTTGTTATGCAGATATTCTTGCAAGAGTATAGCGGCAAATTGAATTTTCCTTGACACTCCTGCTCCATTCTGGCAAAATGACACAAAATCCATACTGTACCCATTAATGTCAGACTAACACATACTTGTTGCTGCAGGTTTTACTGTTATTGCTATTCCCTCAGCTCCCCTTTACATCCCAAGGTATGTGCCTAAAAATATGTGCACTTCATGACTCATAAGATATATTTGGCCTGTGCATAGATACAATCAGGTAGAAAGGAAAATGGTGGCTAAAATGGCCTGTGGCAATGTGCTTACAGAACAGCCTGCTAATGACCTGTGTCTGCTCCTCTGTGAGCCCCAGAGGTGCCACAACCTCTGGAGCAGATGTGCAGTCCACTGCCTCCTCTCTGCAGAGGTCTCCTGGATGCCACAACCCTTTCAGGATGGACAACAGCTGTGGTCCCACTAGTTTCAGTACAAACTTTCCATCCTTGCATTGCAACACATATTTGTTGAAATATTCCTAACTGGTAAAAATTACTTTCTCTGGGGAAATTCACTTTCTCAGATATAGATGAGCTAGTAGATTCACAGTGATGTAGATAATGTGCATTCATTCACAGAGAGATTAATCGCTCATATTCATAGTTGGATTTTGATGGTTAAAACATTGTGCCGTAAAAAACCTTACAGGTTTTGTTGACTGCCTCCAAACTCCTTTTCCAAATTAAATCTTTTTCTGTTGGTCAGTATTCTGAAACGTACCTATTTAACATTGCCCAGCAAAAATAACTGTCTGCACTTTTATTGATAACATAATTTAATGAATGTCTATTTATTTGCTCAGACTCCTAATATGACCAAATGCTTTATCTCTGTTGTTAATTGTTCCATTTTTTTTTACATTATCTTTAAATTCTGTAGATTTGAACAAAAGTCACTCTGTGAAAAAGCTTTACTGGAAAGATCTGATGCCTCAGTGTTTTCAGCAAATGTGATATAAAACATAAAGGGGTTAGGAAAGAACTCCTAATACTCTGGAAAACTTTGTGAAATTCTTGATTCATAGCTGTGCAGCTGAGATGTTCCAAAACAAAAACAGCAATAGAATTCCTTTATAATTTGTTACTTATCATTTGTGAAATAAGTAATTTTACATTAGTACAGAAATATAATTTGCAAAATAATTTTTTTTTTTTTTGAAGTGGAAGACTTTTCACCACTGCTTATGGGGAGTTAATATTAATTTTGAGTATCACTGGAGTGATAGATCATGAACATATGTATTCATCAAATAACTAAATGCATTTATTCAAATAAATGAATGCTAACAGGCATAGGACTAGCTAAGAATCTGACTACTTTATGTAGAAGTCTAATTTCTGTACACAAACATGCTGAATTTTTTTTCGTTATGCATAAACCAAGTGAAACGATTTAGAAATATTAACATTATTGTGCTGTAAGAGCATATACTGCTTTCATAGCCAACAAAATTGTCAGCTTCTTTTAAATGTTGCATATGAATGTAGGTGTTTTTATGATTTCTTTGGATTAGTTAAACTGTGAAGGATGATGGTTGATCCTGGGAATACTATGTTATAATTTCACTCATATTTTTCAGGTTTTATATTATAAATAGACTTATATATTTGATTCTAGAACAGAAATTCTTCTTCTCAGTATACCCTCCTAAATTACTTTTGACATTCAGTAAAACAATAAGGACACAGCATTCTAATTAACAGTGAGCAGTAATCAACTCTTCCCCAGAAATGGTATATGCAAACAGGACCACCTAAGAATGTGTGCAAACTTACCGATGCTTGAGAGCACAGCTAGCAATAACTCATAGAAATTTAGTAAGTTACAATGCATTTTAGTTTTTAGTGAATATGATCTTAATATTTTGTTAACATTGGGTCTTCCAGGCCAAATATTTCTGTACAATTGCTATACCACAAAGAATTTCTATAAACAATTTTTTTGACCTTTTAATTAAGTATTTATATGTATACTCTGAAAACTAAAACTAGATGTTAAAACAACTTGTTTAATAGATAGATAGAGAAAACACACTCTTGTGGCCACAAGAGAGAGATGCAAAGAATATTGACAGGATCCAAGGCTCTCTTGACCTCAATATTTCTTTTCTGGGCAAGGATGTACAGAAAAAAAGAGGTGTATATAAAATGATAACAACTCCATATCATGGTATAAGTCCACCAAGAGATGTTTACAGCAATGCTTACTGTACACCTGGAATGAAAATCCAGGTTTTCATCTAGGCCAGGAGAGACAATTTTCTAATATTTGTAGGTTTGCTCAAAAGAACCTCACCACCACCATCCCCACAAAAAAAATCTCCAAACAAGAACCCAACCGGCCTCTCCAAACTAACCGAGAAACAAAAAAACCCCAAACAAAACAAACTGGCAAAACCTGTGGTGTGTTATAAAGCTTACCATGGTCAGTATTTGATAAAGAATGGGTGAACAGGTGCCATGGGTTTGCCCCCAGTGCCCTCTGGGGCTGAAAATTATTTTCTCCAGGTGGATTTCTGGAGACAAAGCAAATCAAAAGTTTTAGTAACGCCTCTGCCAATTACATATTTAAGAAAATGGAAGAGAAGGTGGTGGCACAGAAGAAATTAGGAGCCATGTAGGAGAGGCGGCAGGCCCCAAGTGGGCCAGGGCCCCCCTCCTCTCCCGGCCCTGGGCCGTGGGCAGGTGTGGCACTGAAGCCCCGTTTTTCTCCTGTAACAGAGTAGAGGAAAAAAAAAAAAAAACTTAGAGAAAAACTACCTGGACAAGACATACTGCAGAAGAATTCCAGGCAGAGATTACAGACCTCCAAGGTCAAAGGTGGCAGCCAGAGAGAAGAGAAAAAACTGCAAAAGAAGGAGGGGGAAACTTCTTTTCTCCCCACATCCCCTCTCCCTTCAGCAGGGAGAAGACTGAAAACTAAAATCCCTGCCACCTGTGGAAAACTGTTGGGGAGTGGAGATGACTCTCTGGAGCTCATGAAGGAGCCTACACTGAAGCAGAGGAGTGCATGAAGAAGATGTATCCGTGGGAGGCCTAAGATGAAACAGAGTCCTGCTGGAGACCTGTGGT